AGCCACACACCTCCTTCAACTAGCCCCAAACGTCGTCAAACGCCCCAGAAGCCTCCACCTATCAGGGTAAGGAGCCCGGGACCCTGTACTCAGACTGCTGAACCTTCTTCCAAAGATTTACTGCCTCCCCCATTCATTATCTGTCAGACTACTAGCCACAGCAATCTCAAGGCACCGACCAATGTGCAAATTGGCATCACCCCACAAAATGAGGTGATCCATTGGGTAAGTCAGCAGCGCTCCACTGGTCAAAGGTCACGTAGTCGCACACCTCCTTCAACTAGCCCCAAACGTCATCAAACGCCCCAGAAGCCTCCACCTGTCAGGGTAAGGAGCCCGGGACCTGGTCAAAGGTCACATAGTCGCACACCTCCTTCAACCAGTCCCAAAGGTCGTCAAACTCCACCCAAACCACCTGCCAGGGCAAGAAGTCCCAGACCCTGCACTCAAACTCCTCTACCTTCTTCCAAAGATTTACTGCCTCCCCCATTCATTATCTGTCAGACTACTAGCCACAGCAATCTCAAGGCACCGACCAATGTGCAAATTGGCATCACCCCACAAAATGAGGTGATCCATTGGGTAAGTCAGCAGCGCTCCACTGGTCAAAGGTCACGTAGTCGCACACCACCTTCAACTAGCCCCAAACGTCATCAAACGCCCCAGAAGCCTCCACCTGTCAGGGTAAGGAGCCCGGGACCTGGTCAAAGGTCACATAGTCGCACACCTCCTTCAACCAGTCCCAAAGGTCGTCAAACTCCACCCAAACCACCCGCCAGGGCAAGAAGTCCCAGACCCTGCACTCAAACTCCTCTACCTTCTTCCAAAGATTTGCTGCCTCCCTCATTCATCATCTGTCAGGCTACTAGCCACAGCAGTCTCAAGGAACCCACAAATGGAAATCTGAGTAGCATGACCCCCGAGGAGGAGTTAACAGAGGTACTTAACCTGCTAGCACAAAACGAGAGCCTTTTGACAAAGCAGCCTGGAAGACCCAGAACTCCCAAGAAAAAGGAGAAAGACGTTCGTAGCAAAAAACCAAGTACCTCCAAGGACGGCGCAGGAAGATCAGGCAGTCCCAAAGGCAAGCCAGCAGAGACTCAGATCAGCCTGATGCTTGATCGACAGACACACCGATTGAGCTGGGCTGATGACATGACAGAAGTCCCCAGAGAGAGTGGAGATCTTCCTAGCTTTGCTCAGACATCATTCTTAGACACTACTTTCATGTGCCAGAACCAACTGGAATTGCCTTGCATTCACCAAGCACAAATAGAACTGCAGCAGGAAAGTTTCAAACTTGCAAAGAGCCCTCTCAAGTCTCAGTGTCTGGCCCATGCCATTGTGGAATCATTGGACACAGAGCAAGCTACACGGGATCTATACATGTGCCTGGCTAAAGGTCTGGAGAATGGGCATAGCCAGCCAAGTGTAGAATATCCTATTTGCTTGTTATGTGGCCGCTGCGCTCCTTATTGCCCACATCCCCATCCACAGCACGGCCCTTGCCTCCTTGTCTATCCACGGCTAAGTGTACAGGACGGGGAGGTTTACATGAACTTGGGCTTCCTCCTTAAGATCAAGAGGCATGAAGCCAACAGATGGGGTCTGGTGCAAGGAAAGGATGCATCAAAGTTGCAACACAGCAAAGGGCATCCTTCCAAGCAAGAGAGGAGTCAGAGCAGGAGCCCGAGCAGGAGCAGAAGCAGGAGGAATGCCCATGAAGCAGCACCCCCATCAAGGGCCGCAGAGAGGCCGTCTCGCCTAGCCAGGCAGCGACCTACAGAGGCAATTGACCTGAGAGCCAGACGGCACAGGGCTGGTCCCAGGCCATCCAGAGCAACAACACCCAGATCCCCTCCACGTTCACCTAAAATGGAGTCCCAGCCACGAAAGCCAGCCCCAGAGGCAACCCAACCCAAGTCCCCACAGAAGCCTCCCAACATCCTGAAAAAGCTCTTGTTATGCATCAAGAAAGTTTGGGCAAAGGTGCGGAGGAGGAGAGAACCCCCTTCCACAAAGCGGAGCTCTAGGACATCCCTCCAGAAAGCAGCTTCTTCTCCCTCTCTGGTGGATCCTTCAGCTCCTTCTGGTTTTCCAGCCAATGGCATTTCGCACCAAAAGCAAGGCTCTCTTCGTAAACATGCAGTGACTACTACACACGCAAAACAAGGACACTCCCATGGTCATAGAAAAATGTCCATGAAAGTCTCAGATCATGAATCATTTCACCCCCACAAGAAGGTTGATAGCTACCGTGCAAAACCAGCTTCTTCTGGGGCACCAAAAAAACATTCCAGACATTCTCCCCCAAGGCAATTACAAAGGAGCCCCTCCAGAGCTAACTTGTATTGAGGTCTCAATAAAGATGTGGCTTGCTGCCAGTCTCTGGGGCTCCTCTCTCCAACAAGGATCTTCTTGTCACTCATCTCCAACACTTAATGCTTAACACGGCAGGTCCGTGTTGGTTTTTTCCAGGCTGCAAATAAACTGGCTGGGCTTTTATATATTTCTCTATTTTGAAATACCACCTTTGCTCAATTCATGTGGGTTTCTCTAAGAAATTGTAGGGAAACATAAAAAATGCATCTAGCTAATTGTCCATCACCACAGATGGCACTATTACAGAAAAAAAACCAACATCTGCTAGATTTATGGATTGTGATTGTCGGTTTGGGAATCATGTGCTAACACAGCCAGGCAGAGAGGAAATTGGGGTCTAGGGAGCACAGAGTGGAAGCATGTGGGATGAGAACATTGGTGGGGCAGAGGGCAACATGATCAATGTTGCAACCTTGGATCAAATTAAAAACTGGATGGACCAGTAAGTCACATTATTGGAGGAAACCACTTTGGCGTAGTTTGCCTGGGATACTGCATATGCAGAAAAATAAAGGGAGATAAAGAATAAATCCACAAAAAGACAAAAGAGTGGCACTCAATTTTGAGTGCAAAATATTGGAATCAGAAGAAAAAATGGCAGTTATTTGTAAGCATCCTTAGAAATAATTGTATCCCATCATTTTTCTCTTATGTCTTCTACTAGCATTAAACATTATGATTCCCCCATTCTGGCTACGAGGCTTTAGTATTATCTGCTTTGATTCGCAATGTTTTGCACCCATTCATGCCTTTACCCAGGGATGAAATGCTACCAGTTCAGGCCGGTCCCCCCCAAACCAGTAGAAAAAAATGCTTTTAAAAAGTTTTTTAAAAAGGTTCCAACGATCGCCCGGCACAGCTGATTGTCACAGTTGATCGTCGGAACTTTTAAAAAACTTTTTAAAGCATTTTTTACAACCTGTTCGGGTGAATAGGTAGTAAAAAATGGTAACAAGGTTTTTAAAAAGTTCCGACAATCATCTGTGCCGCGTGATATATATTCGCAAGAAAGCAGAAAATCCTGCTTTCTAGCGAATCAAAATGGCACGGCACAGCTGTTCCCGCACCTCACTGTTCTACTTACCTTGGCAGGCTCAGAAAAGGCTTCTTAGCACGCTTAAAGCATGCATGCATGCACGAAGCAAACCAGTAGCAGACTTCAGAGCATTTCACCCGTGCCCTTTCCGTTGCAGCTTATGGCTTTGTTGGTTATAATTATCAAATTTATACAGCTGATTCTTAATGTACAATTGCTCATGTCCTGGATTCAAAGTTCTGATTTCTCCCCCTTCCAACTATATTTTGGGTGCTTGGCAACATGCCTACATTTATAGCCATTTTTAGGGCCCTGCAGCAGTGGTGGGTTCCGGATCCCGTTCCAACCGCTACAGTTGGAACGGGCCCAGCGGCGTCCACACATGCACAGCACATAGATGCGTCTTAGCCCCTCCGCGAGCCTCTGCGATGCTCAGCGTACCAGCACGCAGATGCTGTACGCGCCGTGCACGGAAGCGCCGAAGACTTAAAAGACCGTTGAGCTCGGGTGGGTGGGTGGGCCCTCCAGAGCACCGTATCGGAAGGGTATCCAGTGGTCCAGGCAGGCTCCGGTACGCCCGTACCGGGGCATACCGCCTGCAACCCGCCACTGCCCTGCAGTCACAATTGCAATTTACAATGGTTTTGCTGCAAACCAGCTTTTACTTCCAATCTCTGGCAAAACTCAGCCCAAGGCGAGCAATAATTTTGCTTAATGACCACTGCAAAAAAAGGTTGTAAAATTGGATTGGTTGTATAGTTACCTGCTTTATGACCATTACAAGCTTTGACAGAAAATTTGGCTTAATTATGGTCGTGTTGGAAGAAATTTCCCTGGTTCGTTTCCAGCTGGGACATACCACAGATGTTGAGAAGAAATAGATGCAGAAGCCAGCTGCCAGAAAGTGGAATTCTTTTAATGTAGGAAGGTAAGAAGCAAAAAGTAACACAGCTGGAGCATTCTTGGCTTGTAAGAAGCTTGGAAGTGTGAATCTGAGCCTTTTAAGCTTAATTCCCCTTTGAAGCTCAGGCAGCTTGATGGGTTTTGATGTGTTTCTGGTTGCCCTGGGTTTTGTTTTCTGTTTTATGGGTTAATCTTGGTTTTTTCCTGTTCTTGGGGTTTAATCCTGTCAAAAGGAAGTTTCGGTTTATCTTGGAGAGTTTATTTTTTGCCTGATTCCCCATATCTTAATGGCTCTACTTAAGTGATCAATCTTTGTTACTTTAGTAACAGCCTTTAGCAGGCTGCTCAGTTTTCCTTTCAGCTGGTGTTTTTTGGTTTTCTTAAAGCGGGAAGGGCTGGCTTGAGTCTCTTGGCATTATCTGAGGTTTCTGGTGATGTGAGATTTCTCCTTTTGGGGTGCACTTCCCACAGTCATATATTGAGGACTACCTATATATACTGTAGTAGGTGCCCATCATGAAGAATGACTTTGGGCAGCATATAAAAGATTACACATGGATCTTACAGAATAACAGAGTTGGAAGAGAACTTGTAGGTTATCTAGTCCAGCCCCCTGCTCCAGCAGGAGATCCTGTACCATTTCTGACAAATGATTGTCCAGTCTCTTCTTGAAAGCTTCCAGTGATGAAGCACCCACAACTTTTTAAGGCAAAGCTTTTCCATTGGTTGATAGTTCTCACTGTTAGAAAATTTCTC